ACCACCTTTGACTGGAAAAGTCAAAGATGGCTAAGTAAATTAGGATGGAGGGAGTATAATTTATAAATATTATACTTTAATGAGAATACTTTGAATAAGGAAAATTTTGATATAATTTTCATATTCAAAATAATTTCATATTAAAAAATATCATTGGTCAAAGTTGATTGTCATTGACCAAGAAAAGTCAATTTGGCGAACCTTTCCGGGATGGAGGGAGTATGTATTGTTATTTGCATACAATAATAATAGATGATGGTCTTTAAATAAATGCAATTTGTAAAAAGCATTAAAAGAAACAGTAATAAATATTAAGAACTTATAAATTGGAAGAGTCAAATCATAATGTTGATACTAAAAATCTAGTAGATATTACAATTAAACCATGTTATCCTAAATACTTGTAGTTGTTATCTTAATTTATACATTATTTTTTCAAAAATAGTATTGAAACCAAACTTATTTACAAAAAGATGACTAACACTTAATATAGTATAATATAATAGTCATTGGTGTGTAACAATCGAATATAAGCTACTATAACTAAGCTATTTTTATAATCACAACATTTAAGTGGTCACATTTTTTTAAATAATATTCCGTATTTATTTTAGTTATAAACTCCGTATAGAATTATTTCTTATAAATAACCGTAATTACATGTATTTACGAAATGCGAATGTAGCTCCTTTTTGGATTTGCAAACTTAAATTATTGCCAACTTAAATAAAATATCAATTTGATTTGCATGTTTTTTGGAACCATTCCAAAACATCTTCAATTGAATTTGTTTCATTTATTTCATATAATTTATTCCCAAATTTGACAACATATTAACAAATACTTTGTACTATCTAATAAGCTATTCATGACTCAAGAAATTAATAGATCTATTTGCTATTCTTTATTTATAATAAGCTACGCATATTGTCCAATGGTAGGCCCAAAACAAAAGTGGGCGTTAGAAGCTCAAACCTAAACTTTGCCACATTATGACTGAATTAAGTACACTTAAGCCCTTGAATTCCTTGAATATGTCAAGATCCAACACCTTCGGGTTACTTGGAAAGTATGGATAGGGTGCAGCTACAATCTTTGTTTAGTCACCACACACATGCATAAACAATATAGAGTACTTTGTACGTTCAAATGAATAAAAATACGCCATATTAGAAACAAAGCATATCCACAGTATCCATCATATACAGTAGACATCAAAATAGTAAAGTTTTAGGGGGTAACATGTGCAAAATGCACCAAAACGTGTACTTTTTACTCCGTAATACTATGTAATATCAATCTACAGAGTCAACAAACGATTTAGTAACAAAATCTCTTCTCAAATTATTCTCTCTTTATATATGTGAAGTCAAATTTGTAGTTACCCGTCATGACAATACCCACATGTTTGGCATATCGGAGTATATAATAATAGTTGGTAATAAATAATAGAAAAACCATCAAAATACTAAATTACTAATACAATGACATTTATAAAATGTTAGTACACAACATAAACGATAGACAACTAATACTAGTTAATAACATTAAAACATTTATTCTTAAGTTATTAACAAAAAAGTGTTATTGTCCCAATTCCAGAAACAAAGTCTGAACAAATTAAGCAAGGCTAAGCTTGGAACTAATCGGAGCTAAACAAGAATATCCAAGCAATTAAGCTCGGAAATCAGAATCTTCAGTCGTCCCATGCTGCCTCTTCCGGCTTTGAATGTCGCACTCTCGCCAGTTTTACCGGAACTGCGAAATCTCCGACAGCAGTGCCGTGCTTCAGGACTGCACCATTGTGGTCCGGAAACCGTTTCAAAGGCAGTAAGTGGATTATGTTGTTCTAGGCAAAGAGATTTGACATTTGGTTAAATGGGAAGCCAGCTCAAAAATCTCATACCCGTGACTCTGATATATAGCTTTTATGCTATCCAAGAAGATATTGATATGCTGGATTTCGAGACTATAGCAAGCGAATAACCAGGGGCGGTCCTAGGGCATGGGCGAAGGGGCATGCGTCGAGGGCCCATTGCTCCCCTAGGGTTCATAAATTTTTCAGAACCGCCGTAAGGCCAATCCCGTTTGAGAGTTTTTTGGGTCGACTTTTTTAATGAAATTTTGTGAGCGCGTTTTTCATGAAATGTAAAACATTCACACAAAACTTCATCAAAAAATTCAAATGGGAGTCAGTTAAAAAAATTCTTCAAAATCACTACGCAAACATATGCATAAAAACCACAGTGTTTTTCAACAATTTATTTAACTGATTTTTAAATTGAATTTTAAGGTGGAATTTTGAGTGAATGTGCTACACTTCATGAAGAACATGTTCAAAAAATTTCATCAAAAAATGTAACTCAGAAAGCCTTCAAACGGGCTTGGCTGCAAAGCGACTCTGGTCAGTCCGAACTGACCAGAATTTTATTATATACTCCCTTCGTTCTTTATTAACTGTCTCATATTCCTTTTTGGGACGTTTTTAATTATTTCTCCCTCTTTCCCTTTTTGGTAAGTTTTTTCAATCAAAATACCTTTATACCCCCACTTTTATTACCATTACCCATTTCTCTTTCGTAATTTTTCATTACCCACAACCCACTACACCTTTTACACTACCCATATTATTTTCCTCTTAAAACCCGTGCCAAAGCCTAAGAGGGCAGATAATAAAGAACGGAGGGAGTATATGTTTGTATTTTAATATATAAAAATTTATAAATAAAACCACTTATAATTCTTTTATTACGTTCAATTTTGTATTCAACATCTACATACAACAATTCTAAAATTTTGAAACGACTATACCAGAATTGTTTGTGAACAAATTTCACACCTTATTTAGCTTCATTAAGTGTACGTTAGCGCATAAATGTCAATATTTTCATCTACTTCTCTCATGTAAACTCATGATTCATTGATAGTATTTTGCTAATTTTTCTATTCTCTCGTGTAAGTGAAAGATTAAATTAGCGTACCCAGGATGTAGAAACTTGCAATTTGTTTTAGTCTAGTGAAAATGCAATACGTATATGATGCATCCGGGTGTATGTACACCCGGCCCAAATAAGAAAGACAACCCAACAATCAATACAAGCCAAAAAAAATTCGGTGCACTTTTTGTAATATAAGTGAAAAATTACGGTTTCCGCTAAATGAGCAATAGTGTACATTTAGTGAGCATCTGACATATTTTATTGAGTATTTAGAGGCTAACAATGAGTATCATGATTTGTGCTTCATATTTTCTAATTCATTTTTTTCCTTATTTTTTCTTTTATAAAAACTAATTGAATTATATCTATAATACACTTCTATGAATTTCCATATGCGAATTTAATGCAATATGATACTTTTAAAATATGCATTAATATAACATTTTAAAATGAGCATATCATTAGTACCAAATGAGTATACGTAACTTATAAAATGTTTATTGTTATGAAAATCGTAAGATTTGTTAGTTTAACATAACGATATGTTCATTGAGCACCCAACCTCATTTATTGAGATGAAAATCAAGCTTTCTGTTAAATGAGCATACCATTACCACCAAATGAGCATACATAACTTACGAAATGAGTATAAAAAATTTTAAAAACGCATTTTTGTGTGCTCATTCATTTTGGACGTTATACTCATTTTAATTTAACATAAAACTCATTTTAGCATCAGGCGTGGTCTACAGTGGCGGGCGAACTTCATCCGACGGCGCACCCGACACTGAAGCTCGATCCGCCGCCTTTGGTTCGGAATCAACAGCCTCCATCCGAAGGCTGTGCAGCGGCGATTGCAGACAGATTGCGAACTTCATCCGACGGCGCACCAGACACTGAAGCTCAAATCCGCCGCCTTAGGTTCGGAATCAACAGCCTCCATCCGAAGGCTTTGCAGCGACGATCGCAGACAGATGGCGATGGTGTTGTTGCTTCGTGTGTGGAAGGCCATGGTGGGCGGAGAAAAGAGATGTGCACAGATCCTCAACCATCGATTCCCAAAACATCAGCGAGCGCCGAGCAGCCTTCTCCATCCCTAATCTTTACCACCAGATTTGTAATTAATTGCATAAATACCCAGATGTACGGTGAGGACCGTACATCCCATATAATTTGCGTCACTGTTACGCTACATGGGAAATACTTAATTACATACCCAAGTTGATGAATGTACATTGTGAATTATAAATTATTTTCACCACGTATTATTTTATTTGCACTATATGAAGGCCCACTTGATGTTGATAGTTTTGAGCGGTAAGTGAAACCCATGCTTGTGAGAATGGGCATGTGTAAATACCATCATTGTATCCAAAACTGTGAGCATGCACCTTTTAAAAATGTAATCTGCACAATCTGCACACATAAAATCACCAAACCATTAAAATCTTCTGAATTTATCTTTGTTTTCCATTTTCTATTCCGTCTTTCTTTTGCAATCTAGGAAGTTGTCACTTGATGTTGACGTTTTTGAGTGGAAATAAACCCCAAAATATTTTGCTTTTAGATTATAATAGATGTTGATGGATAATCAAAGCATTATCAATTTACAAAAAAGACCTCCGCAATAAATGTTGATTGAACAATACGTCTTCACTTTTAATGATTTCCTTATAAAATTATATGGGCATTTTCTATAGATATCCTGATGAAACGGTTAGCAACACAAGAGGGGGGGGGGGGGGGGGGGTTAATTGTGTGTGTGAAACCGTGAAAGTTTTTCGCACAGTTCTAGTGTGGGGTCCAGGGAAATGCGAAATAGTAAAGTGCACAAGGATTTAACGAGGAAAAATCCCTTCGCTCAAAGGGATTAAAAAACCTCGACCTCCCTCGAAGGAATTTTCAATAACTTCACTAATAAGACTTTTGTGGTTACAAGGTAAATTCTCCTAATCTACCCTTGAGTCATCCCAACTCTATCCTCTCTAGGAAGAGTTATGCATCTCTACCTTGCGGGTAGAGAGCCTCTCAGCTTTACAACAAAGCTCTCACACACACGACCCCAACCAGAGGAAGCTACACTTAAGCTTTTCCTCAAACTTCAATTACAAAACAAGGAAGAGAAAGAAACTATATCTAGAACTCTGTAAGTAGGTCCAGTTGCTTTGGTCTTGATACTCTCTTATAAGTATTTCTCTCTTTAATTGTTCGGTCAAGCACACGCTCTTCTCTTGATCTTCCGTCATATATATAGTTTCATGCAGGTCGTCTGTTGCTCTACTTTCTTTAGTTGGTTGCTTGGTAAATTTATGGACTTGCCTTGATATTAAGATACTTAAGATATTATAATCATGTATATACGAAAGTAGCATACCAATCACGGACAAGGAGATTATTTCATAAATGCAACGGCTCACTCAAATCATGTGTGATTAATTTAAGTAGGAATATTTCAAGCTACTTAACTTTATTACCAAAGAAAACAAGTTGTGGCCAACTCTTAAAACGGCAGACTGTTATTCTCAATGTATGCAACGGATCAAATATGGAATCTATTTCAAACAAGGATTCGTATAGCAAGAGAAAGAATTCACTTAACAAGTATAGGTGTTATGGTCAACTTCCAATTATAATTAATGCATTCATATCAAGTAAAGATACTTTCCATAAGGCATTTAAGCAATATTTAATTAGTGGATGTCAAGTCAAGTATGGAAAGATAATAACCACCTAAATAAGTACTCATACGTATATATAGAGTGGTCATGCATAGAAAGATACTTTTGCTTAAAATAATATTCTTGACAAAGTATAAGTACTCATATAAGGAAAGTATATAATTGGAAAATCAAGTAGGTGCAATCAATATTAATTCAAATCATATTACAGAACTAGAAATGGAGCTGCATTAGTTCCTCCTGCATGGTTAGTCAACAACACACTAATAATATCCATTTGGTCCTGAGGATAGTTCTGTCCTTTATTCCTTAAGGAACTGTGAGCGGTTCTATCCGCCGTTCCACCTGCATGGTTAGTCATCAACAAAACAATCATACTCAACAAATTCCCCTTTTTTGTTGATGACAAACATTAGGTGTCATAATAAAGGTGTCCCTGCGGATTAGTGTCTAAACCAACACAACAAGGTCGAAAAGTAAGTGTAGCAGTACTAAGGAAGGAGGCACCTGATTATTTCCCCCCTTTGGCATCAACCAAAAGGAAACAGGAAATAACCAAAACAATGCCGGAAAGTAAGTAAGTATAAGTATGATATCCCACCCCAAAATCATAATATTTGAAAAATGTTTAGGATAGCGAATCAATCTTCATCGGATGAGGGAATAATCCTCCTGTGGAGCCCTTCTCCGTCTTGCTCAAACCTGGCCAGCACTTCATTTTGAAAAGATTTGAAGTCAGTGCGTACTTCATCAAGGCAACTGGAAAGTGTGATCACCGATTCTGCCAATGAATCAAATCGGCGTAGCATAGTGAGCTCCATAAGGTGTAGCTGTTCTTTGACAAGAGTAACAAAATGCATTGGGTCAGGAGAGGCAGCAGGAACTGGCTTAGGTTTAGAGGTTTTGGACGAAGGAACTGGTGTAATGGTTTCCTTGAAGATGAGTTTAGAGTTGTGAACGGTGATGCCGTAGCTCAGAAGACCCTTAGTATCAAGATTTTTGTGAATGGTGTGGTAAGGCAGATTGTCAAGAGAGATCCCAATTTTGATGAACAAGACAATTAAGATAGTGCCAAATGGAATCCCAACCTTTCTAGCGCGATCACTGATGGTAAATTTGAGATGAGCAAACATAAGGCCAGGAAGGTTAATAGGGGTTTTTATGGCTAGGAGGTACATATATGCAACTTCTAGCCTGGATGAAATCAATCTACCTTCCAGTCGAGGGATGAGATTTGAGTGGACAAAGTAAAACAACAACTTGTGGATAGGAGACAGATTACTCACAAGAAGGGAAAGGCTGGTAGCATTTGGGTCAAAATATTTTATGGCATTTATCTGGGTCACATTTGACAGAGGCCACTCCTCCTTCTTGTAAGGACATTCACCGGAATAGGGAACATCTAACACCTTCGCTAGTTCTTGGATCGTTAAGCGTAGCTTGGTACCACGAACACGAGATACAAGTGCGTTGTCTTTGATTATAAGATTAGCAAGGAAATCGGATAGACAGTCAGGGTAGATGGGACAACAATATTTTGCTTCGAAAAGAGACCCCCATTTTTGAAAGGCAATGAGTTCTACGAAATCGGTAGTTTGAGAGGAAAGTTCGGTGAAGGGGATAGTGATTACCTTTACAATACCTCTTTCCTGGTATGCAGCTTTGAGTTTGAGAGCATCTTCTTCCGCTATCTTCCCTAGTTTAAGAAATTTCTTGGTTGTTTGCTCGCCTGAGATGATACCTTCTGCAATGACTCTCTTCCGGGTGTATTTGCGAGGCAGAATCTTCCCTTCGCGAGTGAGGGGTTTTTCTTTAGAATGTTACGCCGGAGAGGGAGTGGCTGAGGATGGTGAGTTTCCTACTTGTTCCCCCTTGGAGGATGCGGGGGAAGGTGGTGGTGACTCGGATTGTTCGTAGTGCATGGTTGAAGGAGGCGGAGATTCAAGATCTGTTGGAGTGGGTGAAGAAGGTTTTGATGGCTGTGTGTTTCTTTTCCGACCCGAGCGTCGTAGTGCGGTCGGAGGAGCACACCCCCTGGTTTTAACCATGGTGGGTTATGGAAGAGGGAAGGAGGAGTTTACGGAAGGTGGGCAAGTTTGGAAGTGGGCGGTTGCATAGATACCAAGGGATCTTTTACACTTCCCAAAAATAATCTTAATGATTTCTTTCCAAATTCAATTTTATTCCTAATTGAAGGAGATGTCCGGTTGATTAGCTCCATTCCCAAAGATATTTGTTCACTTTTAAATACTTTGTTAAATTAGGTAGTTTAAATATCAGTTCCATTGATAAAACTACTTGCTATTTTGGAATCTGTGAAAATTAAGAAAAAAAAATATTCCCCCTCAGTTGAAAAGAAAAAAAAAATTAAAGGAGAAAATAAAGTTAAGCATTGATAAGACCGAGTTCAAGTCGTATTATTTCAAACCTTTCTCTTCCCAGGGGCTTTGTAAAAATGTCGGCAATTTGCTTGTCGGTGTTGCAATATTCTAACTTGATTAGCCCTGTTTCTACGCAATCTCTCAGAAAGTGATGCCGGATATGGATATGTTTTGTTCGTGAGTGCATGACCGGATCTTTTGAGATGCTGATTGCAGTAGTGATGTCACATAGAATTGGCGTGCAGTTTAGGATGATCCCATAGTCACTCACTTGTTGCATGATCAACAAGGATTGTGAGCAACAAGATGCGGCTGCTACGTATTCAGCTTCAGCTGTTGAAAGAGCAACTGAATTTTGTTTCTTAGAACTCCATGAAACCAAGCAAGGACCTAGAAAATGAGCCGTTCCAGATGTGCTTTTTCTATTTAATAGATCACCTGCAAAATCATAATCTGAATATGCAATAAGATTAAAGTCCTCATTATGTGGATACCATAAGCATAGATTCATAGTTCCTTTGATATATTTGAGGATCCTCTTGACTGCTTTGAGGTGAGACTCCTTGGGATTTGCCTGGAACCGGGCACATAGACCTACACTGAAAACTATGTCGGGTCTACTGGCAGTTAGGTATAGTAGAGACCCGATCATTCCTCGGTATTTCTTCTGGTCTATGCTTGTTCCTGCTTCGTCTGCATCCAGCCTGTCATTTGTTCCCATCAGTGGTTTCATTGTCTTGCTTTCACTTGCTCCATACTTCTTGAGTAGTTCCTTGAGATATTTATGTTGAGATATTTGAGTTCCTTTACTTGTTTGTTTGATTTGGAGACCAAGGAAAAAGTTTAGTTCACCCATCATACTCATCTCGAACTCGGAGCTCATAAGAGAGGAAAATTCATCACAAAGTGAATCGTTAGTAGCACCAAAAATAATATCATCTACATAAATTTGAACAACCAAGAGGGATTGATCTTTTATTTTTAGAAAAACATTTTTATCTATTTTTCCTCTTTCAAAGCAATTTTCCAAAAGAAATTTTGACAGACGCTCATACCAAGCACGAGGTGCTTGTTTGAGCCCATAAAGTGCTTTATCTAATTTGAAAACATGATTAGGAAAATCTGGATTTTCAAACCCCGGTGGTTGTTCAACATATACCTCTTCCTTGAGATAGCCATTCAAAAAGGCCGTCTTGACATCCATTTGGTGGAGGGTGAAACCCATATGAGCCGCAAATGCTATGAGCATTCGGATTGCTTCTAGCCTTGCCACAGGTGCGAATGTTTCATTGAAGTCTATTCCTTCTTGTTGGTTATAGCCCTTGACGACTAGCCTCGCTTTGTTCCTTGTGATTTGTCCATGCTCATCAAGCTTATTTTTAAATACCCACTTGAGGCCTATTACTGTTTTATTCTTAGGTCTCGGTTCTAGATGCCACACCTTGTTCCTCTCAAATTGATTTAGTTCTTCCTGCATAGCTAGAACCCAGTCAGTGTCGGAGAGAGCCACTTCATGGTTCTCTGGTTCTATAAGTGATAAATAAGAAAAGAAAGCACAAAAATTTCTAAGTTTAGATCTAGTTGTTACTCCCTGATTTAGATCTGTTAAGAGGTTATCCAGGGGATGTGATCGATGATGCTTCCACCCTCTTGGAGCGTTGGGTTGATCCACCAGCTCGTATAGGGTATCTGGACCTGGACCTGCTGGTTCTACAATCTGACTAGTTGTGGTCTGTCCGGGTCCTTCTTCAGTTATAGACTCGCTTTGCTCATTGTCCAGTGGTTCTTCAGTTTGATCAAGGTTTGTTCCAAGGTTTTCATGAGGCTGATTTTCTTTGCGGAAAATTCCTATATCATCTTGCCTTGGCTTTAATGAGAGGGCTTCATAAAAAATTACATGGATGCTTTCTTCCACACATTGAGTTTGTTTATTTAGAACTTTGTAGGCTTTGCTGTGAGTAGAGTATCCGAGGAAGATTGCCTCGTCACTTCTTGCATCGAATTTGCCAATATCGTCCTTCCCATTATTGTGGACGAAACATCTGCATCCAAATGTTCTTAGATGACTAATGTTGGGTTTTCTCCCTTTGAGTAGTTCGTAGGATGTCTTCCCTAGGAGTGGACGGATCATAGCACGGTTAATTAAATAGCATGCCGTGTTTAGTGCTTCTGCCCAAAAGTTTCTCGCTAGACCACTAGAAATCAGCATTGTTCTAGTCATGTCCTCCAGAGTTCTATTCTTACGTTCTACTACCCCATTTTGTTGAGGAGTTCTAGGGGCAGAGAAGTTGTGGTCTATACCACGTTCCTTGCAGAATGCATCAAATAGTGAGTTGTCAAACTCAGTTCCATGATCAGATCGGATCTTAATTAGTTGCAGCCCTGTTTGATGCTCAACTTTCCATACAAAAATAACAAACTCATTAAACGTATCTTTCTTACTTGCAAGAAAGATAGTCCAAGTATATCGTGAAAAGTCATCAACATTAACTAAAACATATTCTTTGTTTCCCCGACTTCGGAGTGACATTGGACCACACAAATCCATATGAATTAGTTCAATGGGCTTGCTTTTAATCACAAAATTTTTTGTTTTAAAAGATGATCGAGATTGTTTTCCGGTGGCACAGGCGGAGCAAATATGATCAAGGGAATATTTGATTTTAGGTAGCCCGACTACCAATTCATTATTTTTGAGTTTATTTATTAATGAAAAACTAGCGTGGCCCAGCCTTTTATGCCAGAGTAGGGGATCATTGTCAATAACGCTTAGGAAAGTTAGACTTATGCTTGGCAAAAAGTCGAGATCAATTTTATAGGTATTTTCAAGTCTCTTGCCTTCTAGTATGACTTGCTGAGATTCGTTATTGACAATGCGACATACATTATGATCAAAAACTACACTGTTACCTCGATCGCAAAACTGAGAAATGCTAAGCAAATTAAACATTAGACCTTTGACTAGAAAAACATTGTCTATTGCATGGTCAGGTGACTTTCCAATTTTTCCCAGAGCAATGATTTCTCCTTTACTGTTGTCTCCAAACGTCATCTTTCCACGACTAAATGGCCGTAGTGAGAGGAATAAAGATTTACCTCCTGTCATGTGCTTAGAACAGCCACTGTCAAGGAACCAGTGATTGTTCCCCCTCACTCGGCGTTGTTCCAGGACTAAGGTTTAGTGCGTGGAACCCAGACCTGCTTGGGTTCCATTTTGTATTTGTTTGAGGAATATTTACTATAGTTAAAGCTTCTCTCTAAGGCCTGTTGCCGAGAGTGACATTGATACCTAAGATGACCGTCTTTGCCACAATGCCCGCAAATCCGGCTATCATATGTATCGACATATTTGGTTTTCCAATTTCCGAAAAAGTCTTTGCCCCTATTATAAAATTCTTGGTTAGGTGTTTGTCCATAACCCGTTTTGTGTCTTTGAACCAGCTTATCGAACTAGGTTGGTCCAGTTCTAGATTGCCTTTGATACGACCTAGAACTGGTTTGTCCTCTAGTTCTATTACCATAAAAGGGTTGGTTCTGAAAACTCAGTTTTTGATTCATTTGAGTGTCTCTTGGAATATATCCGAGACCTGCAGTCTCGTTTTCCTTTCTTTTGTATCGAGAGGGTCCAGTTCTAGAATGCTGTCTAGACCTGGTTCTGACCTTGGTACTATATGGTTGGTATTCCGGTTTGTTTTTGAAATCATGTCTCTCGTCCTCAAGGCGATTGAGATGATTAATGAGCAAGGCAATGTCCGGAATTTTGCTTAGAAGTTTTTCTTCATCATTAACTTGTTTGTTCATACTATCGAGTTTGAGTGAGCAAATGAGATTATCTTGTTCTAAAACCACTTCACTGTACTTGAGCCTTTAATTTATTAACTCTCCCACTTTTGTTTCCAGCCTTATCTTGGCCCTAGTGACTTCCTCGAGTTTAGACTCAAGTTCACTGATTTGTGATTTAAGATGATCGTTTTCAGAAAGACTTTGATATAGCTCGATAGTTAATCTTTTAAAAATTTTCCGAACCTTGCCTTTAGAAACGAAATCAAATTTAGAAAGAAAGTTTTCCGAGTTTACCTCGAAATTCTCTTGGTCGGATTCTTCATCGGAGTTAGCCATGAGGCACAACCCTGCATGATTTTGGCCTTTTTCTTCTTCTTCTTCTTCTTCTTCTTCATCGGATGAATCTCCCCAAGCTGCCATCATTGCCTTCTTGATATCTCTGTTGAACCCTTTATCTTCACTGGACCGTCGGTGAGAACTGGTCTTGTTCTTGTCGTAGGTTCTATCATTTTTCTTTTGAGGACAGTCTTTTGCCCTGTGCTCAAAGGAACCACAAACAAAACAACCTTGGTTATTAAAAGACTGAAACCCTTTCTTACCTTGCTTGTTCCGGTTGCCTTTGAATTTTCGGTACATCTTTCGGAATTGCTTGGCAAACATGCTCATTTCATCTTCCGATTCACTTTCGGAATCTTCTTCTTCCTCTCGGGCCTTGAGAGCAATTCCTCGCTCCTTCCTCACATTTTCGGCATCTTGTTCTTCTTGTAGGCCTAACTCATATGTCATGAGCGAACCGGTCAAGTCTTCTAACGTCATGGTGGAGAGATCTTTAGCTTCTTCTATAGCCGTAGTTTTGGGCTTCCATGCGGAGAGCAAGCTTCTCATCACTTTTCTCACTTGATCTTCCACACTAATATCGTTTCCAAGTGCTGAAAGCTCATTTATAATATTAGTAAAACGTGTAATCATATCCCTAATTGACTCTTTAGGCTTCATCACGAATAATTCGTAATTACGCATAAATATGTCAATTTTGGATCTTTTTACACGCGAGGTACCTTCATGTGTAACCTCGAGTAAATCCCACATTTGTTTTGTGGATTTGCATCCAAGAACACGGTTGTGTTCAGCCGGACCAAGTCCACAGATCAAATATTTCAATGCTTGGGCATTATGCTCGAGTTTACGATAATCATCAGCAGTGAATTCAGATTTGGGTTTAGGAACAACTTTACCTTCGGGGTCCACCTTAGTAATGACGTTATCACATGCCTCAATTACATTCCATACCTGATAGTTCTCAGCTTTGATGAAGTTCTCCATTCGACTCTTCCAGAATTGGTAAAATTTGTCGTTGAACAACGGTGGTCGTTGAGTCGAGTATCCTTCCTCCAATCGTTCAACCGTATTCATGCTGCCGGATCTCTTCCCAAGGTATTAACCTTTATGTGGCGAAGACCGGCTCTGATACCAATTGATGAAACGGTTAGCAACACAAGAGGGGGGGGGGTGAATTGTGTGTGTGAAACCGTGGCAGTTTTTCGCACAGTTCTAGTGGTGTGAGGTCCAGGGAA